CGAATCCGGCCTTGCACATTCCGGATCCATTGTCAACCACAAGAGCTGCAACCTCGTCGTCACACATTCTGGCTACTGAAATGCAAACTGTCTTGAATCCTACTAGAAATTTAAATAGCACAAAACGTCAAATACGAAATAGTATTGAGATATTTTGTAATAATAGATCTAATTATCTAGTTCGATAACTGAAATAAAGGAAACTCTTTACAAACTCCATCTTTAAAAATTCAAAACTCACAAATTTATGCAAGTAGAGTCTTATTTTAACTGCTTGACTGCACAAAAGCAAGGAGAAAATGAAACTGACTAAGCTAAGGCCTCATAATAAAACATTAATCTAATAAGTTAACACAGTTGATAAACTAATGTACAGACAAATAGTCATGTATAAATGAAACAGTCTAAGTAAGTAATTAGTAGGGAAGATATAGGAATAAGCGTTAAGTAGATGCAGGACAAGTGGAAGACTTCTCCGCTGCCAACGGAAGGGGGGTTTATATACCTGCGTGTAATGCCTGCTTTTCTCTGCGATTCCTAGGAACAATTGCGCTAAAGATACGCTGAGTTCCACGAAACACGCCAAAGGCGCCGCCCTCCTCATCTCCCTCCACCCCACCCAAACTCTGCCATCCGCCACCGCTTTTACGAAAATTCATGCTAAAGTGTGGAGTTATAGAGGGGAATGAGCTTTATGACTCTTAGAAAGGTCATCCGTTCGGGGTAAAAGGAGAGATCTAATTTTTATTTTCTTTAAAAAAGTGCAGAAGCAGTCCTTTGGAGTAGTCTGGAATCTAATATAAAGTCAAGTTCACCAGTTCATTAGCTTGACTTCGTTCTTATCGCTTATAGCACCGCGATAGTAAACTTTAAAACTCTGTTTATCAAATCTCATGCCAGAGTATGAATATTATCATCGGCTCTGCTTGTCTAGATATGTAAAACTTTGTGTTCTTTAAAAATTCGCTTCTGTTTGCTACCTCCGTTTTCATTAAGAGTTCTTCAAATGCACATATTATGCGAATTGATACTACCACCGCTATTTCTTTGAAAAGCGCGAGTGCAAGCATCGGCGTGTGAACATAACCTTAATGTCTATCAATTTCCATTAGCTTAAACTCATCAAAGGTGTCTTTACTGGAATTTGTTATTCAGCAAGTAGGGCGAAGTGCGGCGGAAACCAGATTCGCGCGGTCGAAGTACTTGTCGAAGGATTGAGGAGCTTTATGTTTATCCCGTTACCTGGGTGCTCATGGAGATTTGCGAGGCAAATTGATAAAAGCTTAGGTTTAGAAGGTT